TTTATAACGTTGTTATAGTTTTGCATTATTGATCATGGAATCAGTTACATTTTTTTTCATAATCGATAAGCTTAAAAAATCAAAGGTATAATGCCGTTAACTTGTTATGACGATATCGGTTATTCATTATACATAACAAAAAGGTAAGTTAATGGGTCAGGCCTTTTTGAAACTGAACAGAAATGGACTATCAATGTGTATGAATATGATCTTAGTGGGCCCTACAAATGAATAAATCGTCAGCCACTAACAAACTAGGCGCGACGTAGAAAAATTGAAAGAACAATTTAATTGGTTTTTTTTTTACTAACTTTAAAGAAAAAAAAAACATACATATATTCCTTCTTAATAAATGAATGTTTTTTGCCACATGTCAATCTTTAATGAGTTTTGACACTTGTTATTTTGTGGAATTTTTGAAATAAATATTATACACTTGTCAAATTTTAGTTTGTTTCAATTTTTAAAATTAAAGTCATATATTTATATATGTAAAGTATTAAATATAATATATCTGATATTAAATTGCAATAAATATGTTTCTTTCTTTTTTATTTTAAAGTTATATATTAAAAAATATTTTCTGTTTACATTTTAATGTTTAATCTTTTTTTAAATCAACCCGGGTAATACACGAGTCTCACACTTAGTTACTCTAATAAATAAATGTTTTTTTTGCCACATGTCACACTCTCATTTAATTTGCCAAATGTCATTTTGTGGTTATTTTAAATTAATTTCTTTTCAACATGTCATTTTATAAGTTTTATATTTTAATAAATTCTACATAATACTTTAATGTAATAATTACAATAAATATAATAATAAATGAATATCAATTTCATCAATGGACTTATCTTCTTAATTCAAAATTCTCAAATTAAAACTAATTAATTTATTTTGTTTATTTATTTAGATTTAAAAGATAAAAAAATCAAATTTAAGAATTCATTATTTTTCTTATTTTCTTATAAATCAAAAGTTCTTAAATATTTAGATATTTATATTTAATTTTTTTTAATTAATCCATTTAATACATGAGTCTTACATCTAGTTTAAAATAATTCATTTTTGATTTTTTATAAATTAACAAAAAGTTATGACTTTTCATAAAATAGCCACACAAACTGCAAACGATGGAGGCTAATCTGCGATTTTGTGTACTCAACTTCAGTTTCGTCAACTCCGGAGAAATACACTCCGATTTATTCCGTTGGGCAGCTGGTTCGTGGCATCGATTTTGATCTCGGACTCTAATACTTTATTATTATTTATTTATTTTTAAGATGACGAAATCACATATGACATTTGGCCATCCGCGGTTTCCTCTCATCTCGGTTGCGGTTTCGTCGTCTATTTTTTTTTTCCATTTTTTAAAATCTAATGTAAGTTTGACTACGGTATTATAGCCTAAAAATCATACAAGCTACTAATAGATGTTCAAGGAATAATAAGTAACAACAAAAAAAAAATCAAAAAAATCGAATAATATGAAGAATGAAACCGAAGAGGAATTGTCATATGCGGTGGTACAAGTTTGTAATTTACACAATTCGTGCATACAAACTTGTACCACCATAGATCGCAATGTCATCTTCGGGTTTGTTCTTCATATTATCTGATTTTTTCGATTTGCGGGAAAAAAACGGCAAAAAACAAACACATAACTACTAAATAATAGCGTACATGATAAAAAGTTAAATAAAACATCACTTGCAACATTGTTTCGTTCTTCAGCCATCAAAGAGAAAATCTGAAAGTTTGAAAAAATAGCTAATAGGCTAATGGACTGCGAAACCAAAGACGTGCCACAAAACAACCTGTATGATGAGACCGAAGATGTGTTCTCCCCTAGAGCGCGAAACCGAAGCTGACTTGACGAAACCGCAGAGCCTTTTAGTGGTTATTTTTTTAAAACCTTAATTTTTGGCTATTATTTGCAAAGTAATTAAAAATATGGCTATATTTATAATTTCTTTGTTATTCGGTTATTCAGTTGACTAATTAACTGTGTATTAATTATTAAATATATTTCAATACGGAAACACTCCATAATTGATTTTTCAAAATAAAGAATAATCTTTAGAAATGGTTTTATAAATGACCAAAATATTGCGAGGGATAACCATTAACCGATACAAGTTTTTATGGAATAAAAAAATAAATCAATGAAACGTGATTATATATTGTAAATGTGAGATAGACAATGCTAATCATGTGATAATTATTGTTATTTGGTTTCTCTGCTTGGTCTTTTTTTAGGTCAATAGATAATATAATTGGTTTCTTTATAATAAATAATAATAAATATGGCAATTCTTACTTTTTACTACATGCTGATTCTTACTTTTTTTTTTTTAATATACCATGTGTAAACCCGTGTATTATATAATATACGGGTTGATTAAAAAAAATCAAATATAAGTATAAGTATTATGTGGCTTTACATATATAAGTATGTAATTTAGTATAATATTTATTATATTTGATATTTTACATATATAAGTATAAGTATTATGTGACTTTTTAATTTTAAAAATTGAAAATAATCATATATTAACATGTGAATATTATTTATTTGAAAAATATCACAAAATGACAAGTATCAAAACCAATGTTTTAAAAACCGGTTTGAACTGGCCGGTCGAACCGGTTGGACCGGGAACCGAGGGAGGGAGCGATTCAACTATCACCGGTTTTATGTCGATTTCTAAACTGGATTGAACCGGCCGGTTTTTAGGAAAACTCAGTTGAACCGGTTAAACCGAATAAAAACATATGGAAAAAAACTATTTGTATAATAAACTTTGGTGATTTTTTTTCAAATCTATTTAGTTTTCTCTAAATAAAAACATATGGTAAATGTTATAATGTTTTTTGATGTGTTTGTATTCATCTAAAACTATTTTTTGTTTCGGTATTATATTTTATTTTCTTTTTGACGTATATGGATTGATGTAAAACACTAACTTATGGTTATGTGCTATTTTAATGTATTTAGATTGATCTACAACTTATTTTTATGTATATTTTTAATGTTTGAACTAATAAACGTCAAATTCATGATTTATATATGTATGTATGTGTAGAAAAATAGGAAAAAAGATGAAAATTGTAGAAACCGGTTGACCCGACGGTCGAACCGGGAATCGATCATCATACCGGTTCAACTAAAAAACCGGTTTTTAAAACATTGATCAAAACTCATTAGAAATTGACCAAATGACAAGTATATTATTTATTTGAAAAATATCACAAAATAACAAGTATCAAAACTCATTAGAAATTGACATGTGGCAAAATTACATTCATTTATTATAGTAGATGCTAGTTCGATATCATATACATGAAAAGGATTACGCGGAAATATACATATATGAAAATTTATGTGTTGCTAAATAAAAGGAGTAGAAAATAAAATTAAGACAGAGGCTGACATGTCTAAGGTTAATATAGAAATCTTTTAGAATAAAAAAAGTAAACAATTATGCAAATAAGTAGACCTAGAAAATGTGTCGTGTTATGTCATGTCAAAACATTAAACGGGTTGAGAGATCTCGACCTAATCCGATTCGTTTAATTATCATATCGTATCGTGTCAACCCGTTTATTTTCATGTTGAGCCGGTACGGGTTGTAAGTTAAGATTTAGGTGTCGTTTGTTTTTCCGAAGCGAAAATGTCTGAAGTCTGCGGACCACCTCTGCAACCCTATGTAGCAGAGAGGGATCAAACGGTTGCAACATGTAATAAAAAGTATGTTTGTTTTTTAACCTCTGCAGACTGCTGCAATAAGTTAAAGTAAGGTGTGAAGATATTTGAAACATATGATCAAGTGTTGCGCCACACAGCACACGCGCAACAGTTTTTAAGTCAGAAGTCTTCTGAAAAACAAACAATTGCGAAGGGTCAAGTGTTACGCGTGTGCTGCGCGACGCAACAATAAGTGGTCATAAGTGTTTTTAAAAAAAAAAAAAAAAAACAAACATCACCTTAGACCTTGTAAATGTGTTGTGTAGACCTTGTAAATGTGTTGTGTAATGTTGGTTCTAAACACTAAAGTGTTGAAAGAGTGGAATTTGGAGAGATAGAAAGACAAAATTCATAGTTAGTTTTGAGGGGAAAATGAAAAGAATAAGGCTGCTTGGTATGGGTACTAACGCCATGGAGGAGGTTGAGGTGGCACATCCTCCATGTCGTGGCCACACAGATGAACACTGCCCTCTTATACGAGACATTAACTGATGTGGAGAAGGTAACACAAAGGAACGCCCGATGGAGGACCAAAATCTAACCCAAGAGGCTACGTGACCAACATATTTCTTCATTTAATTTCATTAAAAAATTTTTGTGTACATTTAATTTTTTTTAAAAAATAATAATAAAGTGGTGTGGTGGATATTTTCTAGCAAATATGGTATCATGTGGAGAGTGACATGACATGTGAGGTAACAAAAAAAAATTGGTGTGGAGAGTGTGACTAAGGGCATCCACAATGAATTGAACTCCATAAAGTTTCAATGGATTACCACATCATCTTTCTACAATCTATACAGTTATATCATTTTTTCCTACAATGCATTAAACTCTACAAAATTCAATAGAATGTTACAAAATGTAATTTATAATAAATATTTAAGAATTAAAAACTTTTCTTTATCCCATTGAAAAGTTCAATGACCATTGAACTTCAAATCCATTGATTGTCAAAGTAACATCTCACAATGGTAGAGTTTCATCTATTGAAGTCACCATTTATGGATACTCCTAATCAAACTCGTTTATCACATGTCGAGTTGGTATCAAATAAGTGTATGGTGTTATTTTTTGCGTAATTTGTCATCGATTCTATTCCGGAATGAAAAGAAAAGAGCCACTCATTAACGAATCAAAATCAATATATTTGAAGGAAGGAATCGCATTCCATGTATGATTTATTCCTTTCTTTAAAGAGTAACGATGTTTTTATTTATTCCTTGGGAACGACTAACGATTTATTACCGCCTACCCAACGCTCGTTTAAAGTTATTTTTATTTTTATTTTTTATTTTTTTGACAAGAACATGAACATGCATTACCCAAATTTTTCGGCATCGTATTCGTCTCTCCCAGAACGCAACACAGACTGCTGAAGCATCCTTTTATGTTAAACCTCTTTCGAACCTATATAAACCGCAGAACCCTGATTTCCATTCGCAATTTCTACAATTCAATCATCGACCCTATCTTCTCTGTATTTTCCCCCAAAATGAACCCCGATGACTCCCAAGAACCCGAATTCGACCCGCGTGTGCCGTCCGTCCCCGTCTCCTACCCAATCAAAACCTTAGAAGACTTGAAACTTCGTACATACTTCGATTCTTTCCATTTCCAGTTCAATAAAGCTTCTGTCCCTTTACGTCGCAGTGGTGTTGATGGTGTTTCGTTGCCGAATCGCCGGAGGATTATGGTGTGCCATGATATGGCAGGAGGGTACACCGATGATAAGTGGGTTCAAGGAGGGAGTAATGCTGATGCCTATTCAATATGGCATTGGTATTTGATGGATGTGTTCATCTATTTTTCGCATAGTTTGGTTACTTTGCCGCCTCCTGGTTGGGTTAATGCTGCTCATAAACATGGAGTCAAGGTATTTCTCATACGTTGACTTTTTACGAACTTTGAATAACTTAATTACCTGGAACAGTTTTCTGGTCTCTGATCATGGAGATGTGAGATCATTTCAAAATTTTGAAACTCATCAATCATTCGTAACAGGATCTGAAGTAAAATCAATCAGAAATCCAGGAGAAAAACCATTAAACAAAATTATTCTGGAATTTCTGAATAATCAACATTTTTAATTTCTCTCTCCGAGATGCATATTACTTCTTTAGCTGTAGCTTTCTGTTGTGATCTTATCCTCAATATATGTAAGATTGGAGTCCTAAAATCCGGAACAGTTTCTAATTGTTTACAGAACTACAGGTCCTGGGAACTTTTATAGTAGAGTGGGATGAAGGAAAACTGATAGCAGATCAGTTTCTGGCATCAACTACAGTTGCTGACATGTATGCTGAGCGTTTGTCTGAGCTTGCTGTTGCATTGGGCTTCGATGGGTGGCTGGTAAGTAACATCGTATTCATAATCATATATCAGATAACTTTCCATTCTTCAAGATGATGATTTGTTGACATAGCTAGAACATGTATCTTGTTTCACCCTGTTTTGACAGATAAATATGGAGGTCAGTTTGGATATTGAAAAGATCCCCATTATGAAAGAATTTGTCAGTCATTTAACAAAGGTTATGCATTCTTCAGTACCTGGATCTTTAGTAATCTGGTAGGTGTTTCCAGTATTATAATTGTTTTTTTTTTCAAATTGTATACTCTGTTGTTTTTTAAGCTGAAACATGTGATATATGGCTATATGGCTATATGTATGTAGGTATGACAGTGTTACAACTGAGGGTCAACTTAATTGGCAAAATCAATTGAATAACTACAACAAACCCTTTTTTGATATATGTGATGGCATATTCACAAACTATTCCTGGACGGTATTCTATCATTATCTTCCTTTTTTATTAATTATTTTGTTTACATGTTCTACCTTTTTTTTTTAAGGATGTTATGATATGTACAATGTAGGAAGATTATCCAAAGTTGTCAGCTGCTGTTGCTGGTGATAGAAAGTTTGATGTGTACATGGGAATCGATGTTTTTGGTAGAGGCACTTATGGTGGTGGACAATGGACGGTATGTAGCTTATTTAATTTTCAAGATCCGTAATTTTTTTTTTTAAATTTCATTTTTGTAATTGCCAATATGTTTTGCATAATAGGCAAATGTGGCACTTGATGTAATAAAGAAAGATGATGTGTCAGCAGCCATATTTGCTCCTGGATGGGTTTACGAGACTAAACAACCCCCCGATTTTCAAACTGCTCAAAATCGGTATTACATTTCTCTATTATTTTTATTTTTAACTTTTAGCTCTTATTTAATTTGTGGTTACTTATATATATATATATATATATATATATATATATATATATATATATATATATATATATATATATATATATATATATATATATATATATAATGTATTTTAGGTGGTGGAGTCTTGTTGAAAAATCATGGGGAATAACACGAAGTTATCCTAACGTTCTTCCATTTTACTCAAACTTTGATCGGGTACATACTAAGCATAGTTTCAATCCTATACTCATGATAACAACATACTAATATTTGTTTACTGATAATAAACATAACAGGGTAATAGTTACCATTTCTCTGTTGATGGAAAATCAGTTTCAGATGCTCCTTGGAACAATCTTTCAAATCAAAGCTTTCAGGTAACATATTTTTGTGATTACTTTTATCCTTATCATCATATCTTACAATATGATATCTTTCTTTTAAATGTCATTTTTGTGTTTTGACAGCCTGTTCTTGAGTTTTCTGGAGATACCACGACTGAAACGATTCAAGCATCCGTTGAGTAAGTTAACAAATATATAAAAATTCTAAACCTTTTATTTTGGTAATGTACAATTTAATGATTTATACTTTTTCATTTTTAGTTTGAAGGAAGCATCTTATAGTGGAGGAGGGAACATTACATTCAAAGGAGCCCTTGAAGATGGTGCTTATTTGAAAAAAAAGAATCTTTCAAGGAGAAGTTCATATGGGGGATTCTCCAGTTCACTTTACATACTCTGTAAAATCAGATGGGAGCTCTATGATTGGTCTTTCTCTTGAGTTTACAAACACCATGAACATGGAAAACAAAACATCAATTCTTCTTGCATCATCTGGAGATACATTACTCACCATGAACCAGTTTTCAAGCAAATTTGACAGTGTGATAATGCCACGTCATGTGAAGAAAACATCATCTGGATGGGTGATACAAGATAGCAGTGTCACAATGGTGGGGTCCACATTAACCGGTATCCATGCTGTATGCTATAAAACCTCATCCAAATTAAGTTCATCATCGGAATACTATTCCATTCTTGGTCATATTTCCATCAAATCTCCACCAAAACATGAGTTTCCCACCAGCCTCGGAATGGAATGTCAAAAGTCAAAATGTCAACTGGAAATCTGGTTCGGTTTCTCTCAAGATTCTATGGACATTGAACAGCGGTGTGTCTCCTGGGTTTTCCAAGTACAATGTTTATGTGGAAAATGAAGAGGGTAAATTGGTAAAATCATCAAACTTTCTTGGAGTGGCATCAGTGGAAGCTTTTTATATATCTGACCTTTTGGTGCCAGCTGGCATTTCAAGCCTTAAATTTATCATCCAAGTTTGTGGGTCCGGTGGGGCTTCTCAGGAACTTGTGGATTCTCCCTTTCTTCGGTTGCAAGTTGAAGGTTCGTAGAATACATAGCTTTTTTTTTTATGTTCATGTTTTTAATAAAAAGAAGTTAATTCTATAACTGGTATAAGTTATGTAGTTGTTGTAACAGGAAATAGCAATGTTGTTGTAACAGGAAATATCAATGTACTTTCATAGATTTGTGTATTAGTATTATATAGCATCCTACTTTAATCTATTCTAATATATCATTCTACTTTCAATTTTTTCTTATTATGGTATTATACTTTGAGAAATCTATTATTGGGTAGATTTTTCTAAGTACAATGCTCTAATAGAATTAAATGAAGATAAAATGCTATCGTAAACAAATCAATGAAAGCACATTGCTATTTCTTTAATCCTTGAATATATCTCTAAAGAATTAACTGAAAAATATGAGAAATCATTATAGAAATTAGAAAGAAGTAGAATATTGGAGTTGGGCACTACCTTTTTTTCGACATTAAATGAGAACCAAAAAACTTTTTGGTTATGTTTACTGTTTGCAGAAGAAACCAAACCCTAAACAGGGTAATATTGTCTTTTTAAAGTTAAAAGTTAAAACCAAACCCCACATTTGGAAGCATTACCCCTCGAGCCCACCACACTCAAATGCCTACAAAGATTTACTATTATTTACTTCTTCTTTTTTTTTTTAATCCTTGAAAACAAATTAAAAAAAAAAACAATTGACTAATGAAGGTGAATCATGTCTGTTTCCAAATTTATATTTTTCTATTCTGTCAGACTTTTCTTCATTTTTGTCCTCAATAGTAATATATCATCATTACTTGGCTTTCTTTTATTCATGGCAATATTTGGCTTTGTGATGATTTTGTCACCTTTTGAAGTATTTAAATAGTGGTTAATAAAATGCACTGAGTAAAAAAGTACACGAATCATCCCTGTGGTTTACCCCAATCTATGCATTGCGTCCCTATGTTTTGTAATTCACTCAGACCTTCCATTGTTATTTTGAAAAATTGCATGCTTCACCCCTGGCTTTAAATTCCCCACATGCAGGGGCATTTTAGTCATTTATTTTGAAAACCCTCTTAGACAAAGGCACCATTGCCCACACTTGTCTTTGGTTCCTCCATCCTCCTTCATCTCTGTTCTGTGGTTTTCCTTGTAAGAAGGAGAAAAAAATGCAAGAATATGCAATTGTGGAGCAGAAGCAGTGATCCAAACTTCATGGAGCAAGGACAACTCAGGAAGGCGGTGTTTCTATGGTTGTATCAATAAGGTATCATCGATTGCATCCTTTGTGTGAAATTTGTAAAAAACCCTAAAATATGTGAAATTTTCAGGGACCAAATTGCAAGTTCTTAGGCTGGGTTGATGAGCAGATGTGTGGTTGTAAGGAGTCCATCCACATTAAGCTTGAAGAAAAAAATCTGAAATTGAAGATTTATCTTGGTTTAAGCTGGATTATTTTTGTGTGCATCCTTGTATACAGATTGTAATGTTACTTGGATCTTTACCTATGTTAGGTTTATGTGGAAAATGAAGAGGGTAAATCAGTAAAATCATCAAACTTTCTTGGAGTGGCGACAATGGAAGCTTTTTATATATCTGACCTTTTTGTTGCCAGCTGGCATTTCAAGTCTTAAATTTATCATCCAAGCTTGTGGATTCTCCCTTTCTTCGGTTGCATGTTGAAGGTTTGTAGAATATGCTGCTTTTTCATGTCGTCCTTGTTTTTAATAAAAAAAAGTTTGTTCTATAACTTGTATAAGTTATGTAGTTGTTGTAACAGGAAATAGCAATGTACTTTCATTGATTTGTGTATTGTGTATTATATAGCATCCTACTTTAATCTGTTCTAATATATCATTCTACTTTCAACTGTTTTCTTATTGGGTAGATTTTTCAAAGTACAATGCTCTAATATGAATAAATGAAGATAAAATGGTATCATAAACAAAACAATGAAAGTAGATTGCTAGCTCTTTAACCCTTGAATATATCTCGTATAGAAATAACTGAAAATATGAGAAATCATTATACAAAATAGAAGGAAGTAGAATATTGGTGTTGGGCACACCTTTTTTGCGACATTAAATGTGAACCAAAAAACCTTTTTGGTTGTGTTTTCTGTTTGCAGAAGAAACCAAACTCAAAACAGGGTAATAATGTCTTTTTAAAAGTATAAAGTTAAAACCAAACCAAACATTTGGAAGCATTACCCCTCGAGCCCACCACATTCAAATGCCTACAAAGATTTACTATTATTTACTTCTTCTTTTTTTAATCCTTGAAAACAAATTACAAAAACAAATATTGATTAATGAAGGTGAATCGTGTCTTTTTCCAAAATTTTAATTTCTATACTGTTGAATTTTCTTCTTCTTTGTCCTCAATAGTAATCTATCATCGTTACATGCCTTTCATTCATGGCAATATATGGCATGTGAGGATTTTGTCACCACGTAACGACTTGCCTTTCATTTTCACCCATGCAAATATTTGGCTTGTGATGATTTTGTCACCTTTGGAAGCATTTAGATAGTGGTTTCAAATGCAATATTATATTGTATATTTTTATCTCCAATGATGATTCTCCTATTAACCTTTTCAATCCCACACCCACTCAGTTTGACTATTTCTGTTTTTATTAGTAAGATTTGACTAGTAATTCCAAGCATTTGATATGCCTTGGGCGCTGTGAACTTGTGTTGTGTCCCACATGTTTCATGATGCATTCTTGACCAGAAACCTCTCGTTTCCCTTCCTTTCCTTGTTTATGCTGTTTTGATTTTTGATTTTTTATTTTTTTTTAAAATGATTTGGTCATTAATTAAACTATAGAAATGAGGAATCTTTTAGTAAGTTCACTTGCACTTGTATTCACTGCTTTTATCCTTTTTCTAATTCATTTGGATTTGTTTGAATAATTGGATAGGTTTTATCTTCATTTTATATTAAAAAAATGTAGACCACAAGTGAAGTCATAGACGTTGTTTTGTTTACATTTGTCATTAACACATTACTCCACCCACCACCCACTCCACGTGAACAACCTCTCTTGATCACGTTCTAAACATACCTCAAACTTGTACTTTTATGCATCCATACAGTACAAGTCTTTAATGCACGAAATGTCTTGCAGTTTTCTATATGCCTCACTATCTACACTTGTCCCATGATCATATTTAATAAACAAAGTTTAGCCTTCAGTTTACTGTTGTTTTGAAGTTTCTATGATTGGCATTCCACAAAGAAACTTAGTAATTAAAGTCTAAAGATGCTTTTGTTAAGTCCTTTTTAATATATTTCTTATGGATTGAGAAGAATTAAGAGATCAGGGCTCATATATATGTATTTTTTACGAAAAAATAACACACTTTCAAATAATTACGCGTTTAACGAAAATCGAGGCGTTGATATTTCTTATTTATTTATTTATTTATTTGTATAGTTTTTAATTGTGCCACATGCTAGAGTTGACTCCATTAAACCTCCCCATGTTTTCAAAAACATTTACCTGCTCTTTACTTGCTTTTGTTTTTTTTTTGTCTTGCACTACTTCTAACTTCTAATAAAAACAAAACCCAAGTGGGTACTACTCTCTTTCACACGTTTACACACCCATGCAAAACACACAAAGAAGGAACTGTTAACTGTAAACACTTTAAAGAAAAGTCTAAGTTAAAGATCTAAAAGATACTTGTATTATAATTAAACCACTTTAAATAATGTTTATCATCATGCCCACAGAGAAGAAGACTCTCTCTTTAGTACTGTGTCGTACTGAATTACATTGTTACAAGTAAAGTTCAAGTATTGTTCCTGATGTTGATGATGATGATGATGATGATGGTTGATGATGGTATTACTATTATGCATACACGAGTATGACATGTCATCTGAAGAGACGCCATCCTCTGTTAACAGATTGCTGTACGCAGGATGACCTGGCAAGACACCATCGGCGGATACTGCAGACTCTTGTTGCACTTGAATGCATAGCATATCTGCCTGAGCCATTGCCAGCTGCATTTGCAACTGTGAAACCTGACTCTGTAAGTACGAAATTGCCCCTACACATCCGTAAACAGGATCTCTCATTCTTGCATTCGCTTCATACACCAGGCTGCTTACTGCATCCGCTCTTTGACAAACAGGAAGCTCCTAAATTTTGTGACAATTTTATCAGCTTAGTTTTATTTAAATATGATTTATATGAAGTGTACATGTATACACTGTGCATTTTAAGGATGTTACTTCTGTCTTCCAGTGCCATGAGCACACAGATGTAACATCCTTGAGATAAAGATGTTGTGGGGTGGGGGTACCTGCAACATCTTGCTAACATTGCTAGCACCGAAGATCTTGTGAACGATTGCAAATTTGTGGGGTTCATCCGATGAAAAATAGGGAGCAAAAATGCAGTCTTTGGCACATCTTCTTCGCAGTAGTTTGCATGAAGCACATGGAGAATTCCCTGGTGCCATTGTGTGTGTGTGTGTGTGTGTGTGTGAGAGAGAGAGAGAGAGAGAGAGAGAGAGAATAGAAGAAGAAGAAGAACAAGCAAGTTTTTGAGGGGATATGTGAAGAATGGAAGTGAAGTCTTTGTGTATTATTTATATTAGTGGCAGGTGTGTGAGTTGTAGCTTTGATGGACGCGTTTACTATTGTAATTACTATAACAACTAATATTTAAATATGATTATTATTACTATAACGATCTATTAGAAGATTATAGATGTGGGAGACTTTGAGTACGCTTTGGGTGATATTTAACTTATCTTAGTTATTTTTTTAAATTATCTAATAAATCTATAATAAATACAAAGGATTTATGTCATATTTAGACAACTATGTCTTAATTACTATTAACTTGTGAAGTTTCTAATATGAAGGCGTTTGCCTTTAAACTTAAAGTTTCGGTTGTACTTGGTATTTGGTCATTTCCACATTGATTAATTTGTTTCGGGCTCGACAAAGATCATTGACTAAATGTTCACATACTATCCACATGGACCATTTGTTTAGTTTTCATTTTCTTAAATTTCAATTTTTTATGTCACGTGTCATATTCTTATGCGTTTTGACACATATAGTTTTGTGATTAATTCTTTCTATTTGTCATTTTGTGGTAATTTTCGATTTTTCTTAATTAACTATTCTAAATTTTAGATTATAGAAAGTAATTAATATGTCATTAATTTGTTTTTTTATATTTTCAAATTTTAATATGTTTCTTCAATGTACCTGATTTTACAATAGAAAATATATAAAATTTGATAATTCTCTTTACCACTTTTATATTTTAATAATTCTCTTTACCACTTTTCTATTTTAATTTATTGATTTTCTATTTTCTTCGAGTGTTGCCTGGACTATTCGAAAAAAATGATGTATTTTCAAACCTAAACGTAACTAGAAAGGGCTAATGTCATCGTCACTTCTCTCGTTGAGGTTTTTGTTAATTTATTAATACAACTTTTTTTTTAATTATTATTATTATTATTATTATTATTTGCAATTTTAAGAATTTTATTGTCTTTTTCGGTTGGTTGGTTGTTGTAGTTAACTTTGGTTATTGTGATTGTTATTTGTAAGGGTGAGCAATTATTTGTAAGGGTGAGCAATTGGTCGGTCCGGTCGGATCGGATCGAACCGGAATTAATGTCGAATCGAGATCAATTTTCATCAGGCGGACCCATTTTCGGTTCTTAATATTGTCCTATGAACTATGAAGGTCTCAAATCCTAACACTTGTGTATGAATCTAATAGAAACGCGAAATAATAACACAACTATTCAACAAATAAAAACCCATTTTATTTGTTGGGTTTTTATGTTTAAGCACAATGATTCAGAAATAACATATATTCTGAATCTTTTCCAAGAACTCGCCAGAAACTTTCAGATCTTTCTACATAACTTCTCTCATAGATAATACAATATAAATAATCAACACTCAACTAATGAGAGCAGCTAGTATAAATAATAGTCTAACCTAACTGATTATCAGACTACCCCCATTGGTAGGATATTGGCGAGCGGCTTGTTGGTAATTAATTAAAAAAAATTCAATAACTTTTGGTGAACTAGGTTGCCGCCACAATCCAGCTCACAAACGCTCACATAAGTAATTCTAAGTCACGTGTTATCAAATGAGAGGGTGAATATATATTCTTTGGATAAGGGTATATATTTTTTTGGATAAAAACCATTATCTAATAAAATCCAACATTATCTTAGAAAAAAAAATTAAAAAAAAAATATCAAATTTGCTATTCTTTTCTCTATAAATAGAGTATAATATCGATATACTTCATATCTCATCTCAACTTTTCATTTCTAAACCCTTTTGATTTCTTTGATAACATGGATCCAAATTTCGTTTTAAATCTTGACGATTCTCAAGATTATCAAAACTTTCAAAGCTAAGAAACCTCACAGCTTTTCGCAAATCCCAATCAATTCCCTATAACTGAAAATATTCAAACCTCACAAAATACCGGAAAAAACCCAAGAGACAATAAATAGGATGCTGATGAAGATATCGCTTTAATGTCAGCCTATTGTATCGTTAGTGAAGATGAGTGTCGTGGGAAAAAACAAAAGAAAACATCAATACGGGCACGAGTGAAGGAGCTATATGATGCAAATCAAGCAAAAAACTCATGAAAACTTGGTAACAGGAACATAGCTCAAATGAAAGGTCGTTATAAACGACTTAATGAAAATGCCAGCAAATGGGTTGGTGTTTACCGAGAAACATATAGAAAAAGAAGAAGTGGAATGAGTATGAAAGATGTTAAGAATGAAGCTCATAAATTATATGAGACAAATGGAAACAAGTTCAATGACACGATTTTTTTTAACGAGGTTATGTGTAAACATCGAAAATGGGATTTACAGCTAGATCATGATGCGACACGATCACGTCCTAAAAATGAAGTGGGTGGTGAAGAAAGTGGTGGTAGCACAAAAAGATCAAGGTCTACTGAAGAAGGAGACAATTGTGTCCAATCCAACACAGAAGGGGCAAATATTAGTGGTTCAACAATTAAATGTCCAACAGGTAGAGATGCGGCTAAAAGAAAAGAAAAAGGTAAGTCCTCTAACAACGAAATTGTTGAAGAACTTCGTGCAATGAGGCTTAGTAGAGATAGTGAAGTAGAAATCATGAGAAAAAGACTTGACTTGGATCAACAAAAGGTGCAAAAAATGGAAGAAATTGAGAAAAAAAAAAGATGAAAATGAGCTAATGAAGATGCAACTTGTGCATTTCAACACACTCCTACAAAAAGTGTCCTTGTCACGAAGAAAACATGAAAAGCTTTCTAATGTCGAAATTTTATGGAAACTAATTACAGTTTAGTGTATGTTGTATTTTCATTATACTTTTAATGTATTTGTAAGATATTTTATCATGTATTTGTATCTCATGGTTTTAATGTATTTATAAGATATTTTATCTTGTATTTGTATCTCATGCTTTTAATGTATTTGTAATATATTTTATCTTGTATTTGTAATATATTTTTAGTGTGCGTTTATTGAATGTAGAGTTGTCGTTGTCATCTTTACTAAACATAGAGTTGTCGTTATCACCTTTATTAAATGTAAAGTAGTCGGTATCATCTTTATTGAGTGCAGAGTCGTTAGTATCATCTTATCATCTACGAAATCTGACATTATCTTATGTCCAATGCAAGACTTAATCCCTTAAATCTTGAGCCCATTTGCTCCAAAAGAGCTTATAACACTAAAATCATCCTAAATATTGATGCTTTTTTTAGACTCGCATGTCTGATGCAAGTCTTGGACTCACTTAGGTCAAAATGAGGTTTCATGACCAAAATCTTATTCATGGCTCAAACAAACCACCAAACTTCAGATCTAAACCATAAACTACCTCAAATAATCCAGTGATTCATAAAGTTGCAACCTTTATGAAGTCTCACCATCCCATCCAATAAGATCAAGAAGAAAATGAGACAAAATGCAAAATCTAGCACTCTATAATCAAAAAGGTGGAACCTTGAACACTTACAAGGGTCCATAATTGAGCTAGGAAGGGAGATAGGGACTCTCTTGCTGATACTTGGCTTACGCCTTTTTGCTTCTTCCTTCAAGACCTCTCAAAAGCACTTAAGAAAGCTTCAACAATAGAGAAAAATGAATTAGGGTTTCTTTTGAGTTGAAGAGGGTGGTGGAGGCTGAGGGTGAGCAAACCCTAGCCTCCTCATTTCTTTAAATAGGTGCAAAACCCGAAAAATTAGGGTTTAAGACGTCAGCGGCAGCCACGCCATGGCCTTCCTTGCCATGTCGTGGCGAGTCAAAAAGACTTGTGGCTGGAAAATGTCTCGCCACGTCGTGACCATCTTTCCCACGTCGTGGCGACTCATGAAACTTCAAATCTCAAATTAAAATAAAACATACCTCAAGACCGGATGTTACATATCTTTAATCATTTATAAATTTACTAAATTATTTTTTTAATTATTAGAAACGTTCATCTAATACAATACCTTAATATGTATTTTTTTTATCAAAAGTTTTTTTTCAATGAAATATTAAACTATAATCAATTTTTCTTGATAGTTGTTTATAAATTATTAGTTATAACTAAAAAGTTTTTTTAGTTACTTTTATAGAGTTTGCTAAAATTTAAGTTATATATTTTTTAAAATGTTTGCTTTTTAAAAACCGAATTATAAAAATCAATCTAACTGAATTGTAATTTGGTTGGATCAGATCGGATTTGAATTTAGTTTGGACTATTTGGATCCATGTTTTGAAAATCCAAATTTATTTGGATTTACTTATCGGATCGGATCAAACCGATCCATCCAAACTAACGCCCCTAAATTATAGCTATTAAATTTGATTTTTAATTACATAAGATAAATAATAAGATATAATATTAAAATGAAATAATCGGAAGATATATAATATAATACATAATCTGAAAAGTGAAGTGAAGTGTAAGCCCTCTAATACCTCAAATTATTACTATTAATTTTTTAATATTTTGTTTTCACTTCCAGTCCATGCACACGTACACATGGAAGACGAGTAGTTATTTAATATAACTAATAAGAGGAGACACCTTGTTTGCATAGGAATGGTAATTTGCGTACTCCTAAATCATAATGAAAAAAAAAAGAAAAAAAGGCTAATCGTGTATATATACTTTTAGTGTTAAAATGGGAAATAAATGGGCTGCCATCCATCAGTCTTGGGCCTTGGCCCGAGTTTGACTAGTTTGTTCATTGAACTTACTAGTTACTACAGCATTTAAGCAAAAAGACGTGAAGATATGTATTATGTTAAATTTGAACAGACCAAAAATTTGGATATACACCGATAACTCAATTATGTTTTCCCAGTGAATAATTAAATCAGTTTTTACAAGATGAAACCACAAGACACCATTTTTCATCCAACATGAAACCGAACACACCATCATCATGGCCATTGTTATATATAAGAAATGGGCATAACATAGACGAATAGTGTAGTGGCAGATCTAAAAAAAAAAGTTGGGACGTAT